CACTTAGTCAGATGCATGTAGTGGAAATTCCAGAGACAGGTATAAATATACAGGCATAAGAAAAGAGTACCAATCAAAAATAAGGCTAGAGAGAATGAGGTCAATTCAGTCAGGGAGGATGAGGCCCACTTCTAGCAACTGACGTGGAGGTGTGAACACCAAGGCCGTGTCCAGACTCAGGGGTTTTTTCGGGAAAAGTAGCCTTTTCCCGAAAAAACTTCCCCTGCGTCCAGACTCAAGCCACGTTCTTTCGAAATTATTTAGAAAGAATGCGGCTTTTCTTTCGATGGCGGTATGTCCAATCTGCTACTGTGTGTCCAGGGAAACTTGTACTGGACAAAATATTCTATAGCCTCTGTAAACAGGCACTCATCTTCTATAGTGATGGAATAGAATAAAAAGTATTAATCAAAGATGGGGATTCTTTTGCTTTCTTTTATCTACAATTTAAGTCCCAAAGCTCAAGCTATATACACCTGCCTGGAGCTGCTCTGGTCACCATACTCTGTCCATGTAGGTTGCTGAATGACTTTTCAGGCCCAGAATTTGTACTTTTGTAGTTGACCAGCCATTCACAATCTTTGTTTAATCCTAAACTGATGGTGTCAAATTTGCAGATGAACTGTAGTTCAGCAGTTTCTCTTTGATGTCTAGTCTTGAAGTTTTTTTGTTGCAGGATGGCTACCTTGTGTCCAATCTGCTACTGTGTGTCCAGGGAGATTGAAGTGTTCTCCTACAGGTTTATGTATATTGCCATTCCTGATATCAAATATACATAAACCTGTAGGAGAACACTTCAATCTCCCTGGACACACAGTAGCACATTTAAAGGTAGCCATCCTGCAACAAAAAAACTTCAAGACCAGACTTCACACCTCCACATCAACTGCTAGAAATGGGCCTTATCCTCCCTGACTGAATTGACTTCATTATCTCTAGCCTTATTCTTGATTGGTACTTTTTTCTTATGCCTATATATTTATACCTGCCTCGAATTTCCACTACATGCATCTGACGAAGTGGGTCTTTGCCCGTGAAAGCTTATGCTCCAATACATCTGTTAGTTTATAAGGTGCCACAGGACTCCTCATCGCTTTTGCAGATCCAGACTAACACTGCTACCCCTCTGATACTTGACAGCTGTGTTCTAGTCTCTATAAGATACCACAGGACTCTTCATCGCTTTTGCTAGAACACATCTGTATTTCATCTGCAAGGTGAAAGGGACGAGGAAGATAATTCTTTTGAGTATTTTCTAGAACATTCTCAACTGAATCTTCATAGGTAAGAATGTATGTGTGATATCTATCTGTGATATCTATCTGTTACAGAGCAGTGTATGGCTCTAATCTCAGATACGTAGACAAACTACACTTTTAAAAGATGAACTTAAAGCTTACTTCAAAATTAAAAGGAGCAGTGTATGTCTCTAATCTCAGATAAATAGACAAACTACCCTTTGAAAAGATGAACTTAAAGCTTACTTCAAAATTAAAATAAAAGGATGTCCGAGCTTCTAAATCAACAACAGAATATGTGTAAACATATATATTCAATGCAAAAGTGAAAGAAAAAGCTTTACAGCTGCCAGAACCCAGGTTTTGCTAAATTGGTGCAAAACCCTGAGTTGTCACTTTTTTCTCAGTTTGAGTAGCTCAATTTTGTTTAGCTTATGTCCATAAAGAATTAGTTTAAGCTAAATCAGCATAAGCCATTAATAAACTAAAATAACAGTTTCTGTGCATAAACTTGCCCTTAATTAACTAAAATAGTTTTAAAACACTCCTGTAGTTAAAGCAGTGTAAGTTGGTGGGTAGACATGATTGAGTCCTGTCAGCCGGTGTTCCCTCTCCTTGATTACAGCGGATGACATAGCAAAAACCTTAAGCACAGAGAAGAGCCCAATTTCTCCTATTCATTAAGGTGATAATGCCTGCAGCAGGGAGAGGAAGGCAAAACTGGGTATGTCTAAACTCAAGATTGACAGATAAGCAAAGGATAACGAGTTTTAAATGTATATATTTGTGATTCTCACATTCTCTTTGTGATTGGGACTTCACTCAGGTTTTGTTATTTTGGTATTTATTCACTTGTACATATATCTTTTAACATTTTGCTTTCATTTTAAAGTAGCCAGATTCAAGAATAACTATAGCCTCAGAGCCTGACTGTAGAAGTGCAAGTTCTATTACATTTGGTGTGGTTTTGTTTTCACACATTGCAACTTTTTTTCCTCTTTTGCTTGAAGTAACTTTTCTAAATACCTCCAGCCACAAAGTAGTTTCATCTCAGCAGATGTCTTAAGCACATTTCAGCTGCATCAGCAGATATTCCTGAGATGGTATTGCTCCCCTGTGACTCTAAACAGGGATTTTAGTTGGTTTTTTTTATTTAAGAGCTGGCAACATGGTTATTTATAACAAGGAACATATTTCAGGACCGTTTTCTGTATCCCTATCTATTTCTTCAATCTCTATCTCAGTAAATAAAACCGTGCGTTCAAATTCTGATATTTTCTCCCCCTTCTCTGTACAGTTTTTGCTTTTCAAACAGCAGCATATTTGAGAACCCTTTGGTGAAAGTGCTGTTTGACTAGTATTATAGCCCATAGCAGACTCAGCATCCCTAAGCAAACATTTTCTTTACACCATTAGTTCTTTCACCTACCAGATATATCAAACTAAAAGTTTATAACTCTGCTTTTTTCTTATGTGTGTTTCAATCTTTCTGACATCTGGAAAAATGTAGTTTCTGACTTGGGCCTTCCTGCATAGCTCCTTATTTAAACTCGATTCACAAAAAGATACAGTGTTTGCCTATGGTTTGGGTGATTAAGGCTACTTCTCCTTTCGCCTGGCAATGCTACAGCTCTTTGGTAGATGGAGCCCCAAAAGAACCACTATGGGAATTGTCACATTTTATGATGTATGAGATTCTTTTTCTTTTTCTTTTTTTAATTTTACCACAAGAAAGAGAGAGTGGCCTTCCATCTGCACAGACCTGCTCAGCTCTTCTAAAGATTGAGGGTTGGAGCTGTTTAAAAGTTAGAACGAAAGGCTCAAATCCTGCAACGCTTGCTCAGCCAAAATTCTCATTGATTTCAGTAGGTGTTTTGCTTGTTTAAGTACTAGGGACTATACCCTTAACACATGCACAAAGCCTGGATAAACAAGCTTCATGCAAGGGTCTCTCTGGTGGGACAAGATCTTTCCCCTAGCTATTGGGCAATTGTGGAGGTTCTTTGCAGCTGCTACAGCAGCCTTAGGGCTAAAGTAATAGCTATGGTCTCTCTTTTTCCTCTCAAGGAGGATTTGTTAGCATAATCACAAAACCACTGGCCACTCTCTGACTCTGCTTTTCCACTGAACCATTCCTGAGCAGAAACGGAGCAAGGAGCTTTGTGCTCTCCATATTGTCAGGCCATCTTGGTTCTTGCCCAGCCTTCCCCCATAAATTAGAGCAAGCTCCAGGAGCCAAAATAAGAGCTGGTATTCTGCCATTCCAGCAGCTGGAAAAACTCCTTATGCCAGGTATTTAGCTGGGTTTATGCCTCTATAAGCCAGGGAGAAACAACAGAACAAAGCGGGAAAGGATAGCCAACCTCTTCTAAGGCTTTTCTATATTTAGGAATAGCCCTGATTCAGCAATTAGTGAAGCTACACCAGTTTTAACCCTTTAGTGAAAACAAGAGCAAGCCAAAAATCAGGAGTACGGGTTCTTTCGAAAAAGGGTTTTTTTTTTCAAAAGAACCCCATCTAGACTGCGGTTTCTTTTTCGAAAAAGCGCTCGCGTGTGATTATACAAACGAAGCACGAGATTTGTAAATCTGCACATCATTTGACTTTTCGATCGGACTCATTCACATTCCTGTTTCGGAAGAGGAATGTAGTTTAGACGTGCTCACAGAAGACATGTCTACACTGCAGTCAGACATCAGTGAATGGCCTGTGCAAGCGGACTCGAGTTTAAGGGGCTGTTTAATTGTGGTATAGACATACTCGAAGTAGTGAGCACTGGTATAACCACAGATTGCTGGCAGTTAAATCAGAGTTGTTTCCAACCCCACTAGATTCTGTAATATTATTAATCAGGCCATAGAAAAAAAGAGAAGAAGCTATGAGTTCTTGGAAAGGCTGCTTGACAGCTTCTCTTTTTCTCCCGCACTGTGAAAATGGCTTTCCAAATTCTTGATGCTAAGGAGAATGTTATTTAAAGGCATTGCCCATTTGCGTGGTAATGCTCGGTCCATGCAGTGAGGGGACTGTTTTAAAACGATGATCAAAAGAATAATGCTTCTTTTTCACCTCTTTGCAACAGGTTCTTCTCCAATTAACTAAGTGATATAAGAATGAAAACAAAAATATTCTTTATTTTCCTTTGCTGGCTGTCATATCCAACCCTGATTTCACTTAGGACAAAGAAAAGGGTGGTCTTCCTTTTGCTCAGGCTCCCCTTCAAAACTGAAAAGTCCAGCAACAGGCTCTCATTTTGTCCACTTTACAGAAATAGTCTGTCATCTAGCAATAGTCCAATGTGTCTTTCACACTTCACCACAACAGAATTGGCCCCAAATAGCACCCAGATTCCTGTTCTGCATAGGGACCCAAGTCTCTAGCTACCAATCTCTCCTGAGAGCCCCCTATCCCTGAGAGCTAGACATCCCAGCAATTTCACACTAGGCCTCACCCATCTGACACCTTGGCACCTACAGAAACCCTCTAGCATCCACCCACCAGTCCCTGACATCATCCAGCACCTGCCCCAGCACTCTAGCTACCCGTATGAAATTCCACAGATTATTGTTTAGAGCAGGGTATATTGACCATAAGATGAAGTTCACAGTTACACATCTATTATTTAAAAATATGAAAATACGCTAATTAAATAACTTGCATAATATATCACCCATGGAGCAGTACAAAACTTGACAGGTATCTTTTTGTGTGATTGAAATATGACCCTGGATTCAAACTGTGTGATTCTTACCCTTATTTAGGGCTCAGTTATCCAGTAGAGGAAGCACCGAAACACAAAATGCCTCCTGCTCCCAACTGGTGCACAGCATGGTATAGACACAGTTTTTCCCACTCCTTGCTGTCTTGCAGACACCATGCATCTCTGGTGGAGTAGTGTCAGAGTGAGTACTGCAATTTTGCTTCTCATGTATGTGGGCTATGCGGTGGTGCTGGAACAATTTTTAGGGTGCAGGGGTGCTGAGCTGTGCCCATCTCCCACTTTACCCCATTGATGTCCCTCACTGCCCCAGGCTGGGGTCACAGCTGGGGCCTATGGTTGGGACCCCAAGGCCCGCAGCATTGATTCCAGGCTCAGCAACCAGGACCCTAGGCAGCAGCAGAGCCCCTGGTGGCCAGGAACAGGGAACCAACAGTGATGCCTGTAGTCAGGACCTACAGAGAAAGTGGAGCCAGAAGACACCAAGAACTGCAGCACCTCCATAATTCCCACACCAATGGGACTGTGTGAAGGGAAAGAACAAATGCCTTTCCCTCCCACTATACTACACACCATGCACAAGCTGGCCATTAGACAATCAGTTCTTTAGGGTAAACATCTTGGCTGTGTCTCCACTGGCCATTTATTCCGGAAAATCAGCCGCTTTTCCGGAATAACTTGCCAGCTGTCTACACTGGCCCCTTGAATTTCCGGAAAAGCAATGATGATCTACTGTAAAATCATCAGTGATTTTCCGGAAAAACTATGTTGCTCCCGTTCGGGCAAAAGTCCTTTTCCGGAAAACTGTTCCGGAAAAGGGCCAGCGTAGACAGCACAGATTTCTTTTCTGCAAAAAAGCCCCGATTGCGAAAATGATGATCGGGGCTTTTTTGCGGAAAAGCGCGTCTACGTTGGCCATGGACACTTTTCCGGAAAAAGTGCTTTTCTGGAAAAGCATCCTGCCAATGTAGACGCGCTTTTTCCGGAAATACTTATAACGGAAAACTTTTCCATTTTAAGCATTTCCGGGAAAGGGTGCCAGTGTAGACGGAGCCCTTGAGCTTAATTCTTATTTTATTAATGCTGATATAAATCATTGCAATTACCCGGGGAATCAAAGTGGTGTAAATGAGATCATAGTCAACCCATCTCACAGGCTGACACATCCTCTCAGCCAAGCCCAGATCAGCCTTGCCTGTGACATACCATCTGATGGTGATGTGGCAACTTAATGCTCATTAGTGAGCCCAGCTGCAGGGAATCTGGAAGGATTTCTTAAACAGAGCTGCTGGGCATTCTATTTGAGTGGGTTGGTATCCATCCAGGGAAAGGATGTGGCTGAGCTGCCTGCAGTTAGGCAATGCCTTAGGGAACAGAGACAAGTCTGTGGAGTTTGAGGGTGATGGGATGTCCTGTTCCTTATCAGCCCTGTGTGGAAGGAAGGCAGGGAGGCTAAGTTTTTAAAAAACCAAACCCATAAAGGGAGAACTCTTCAGGAGCAGATTAGGCTCTTGCAGGGAAGGCTGAGGTAGGGTCAGTAAAAGCACTTGAGTGGAGGGGGTGGAAGACTTGATGGCTCACCAGATGGGTGAAGCAAGCAGCCTGAGAGCTAAAAGGAGACTGTTAACCACAGACTGGAAGTAGCACTGGGGTGAAGAAGTAGGAGGGAAACATCAGCATATCTGAACAAGCAGACAGACATTGCTGCTTCATTCAGGGTCCTTGGGCCAAAGCTGGGTGTGGGCCTTGGTTCTCAAACCAGTCCCTGAGGAAGAAATGTGCAGGCTCAGCTGGGACAACATTAGGCTTCTGTGGGAGAGGTTCTGAAACAGGCCCAGTGAGGGCACTTGAGTGGGCACATGAGTGGACCCTGAGGGGCAAAAAAATTCTCTGCACATATAGCTTGGACTTCAGTTGTCTCTTCTCTCCTCATGGAAGTGGGCTGAACTATCTGTCTGTGTCTACACTGGCGCAATCTTGCGCAAAAGCGGCCACTCTTGAGCAAAAACTTGCTGCCTGTCTACACTGGCCGTGTGTTCTTGTGCAAGTAAACTGACGTTCTAATGTCTGAAATCAGGGCTTCTTGCACCAGAACTCTGACGCTCCCGCTTAGGAATAAGCCCTTTTGTGCAACTGTTCTTGCGCAAGAGGCCAATGTAGACAGGCAACATGAATGCCTTGCGCAAGAAAGCTCTATGGTTAAAATGGCCATCAGAGCTTCCTTGCGCAAGAGGGCATGTACTCTGGCATGGATGCTCTTGCACAAAAGCACATCTCTTGTGCAAATGCACATGCCAGTGTAGACGTTCTCTTCTGGAAGAATTTTTGCACAAGAACTCTTCTGCAAAAGAGTTCTTGCGCAAGAAGCTGCCAGTGTAGATGTAGCCGCTGTGAGTTGGCTAGAGGGCTGAACTATGGCAGCTTAGGGGAGAAATGGCCTGTTGGAGGTGCTAGAGACATGAGCCTTGGGTAGCATTGCAGCCTGCTGCAAGTGGGCACCGTAGATAATGACTATACTACCTTGTGGGGCAACTTCATGCTTGTCTGTAAAGTGCCTCTTGTCTGTGCCATCTAAATAATAATGATGCCGCCTAGTGGAATGTACACTCACTGTGATCTTCCTATCATAGGGTCACATTTTCTTTTGTGTTCAAGTGGTCAGGACCAATTATAGTAGGTAATGGATTTGACTGTTCAGTTTTCAGTTTTTCCCTCTTGTAAAGGCCCAGATTGAAGTGCTCATTTGCAACAGCAATCTATCTTCTGACCCTGATCAAAGCAATTTGGGCTTGAGCTGAGGGACTAATTGAGAGGGGGATGACAACCCTTCTTATTCAGGCTAAAGATCTGCTAAGCCCCATTTTCAATCTGAGTTACGAATTAGTTGACTCTAATGTCCAAGAACCTTGTTCTGATATCCTTTATCCTTGGATACCCTGAAGTAAGTGGAGTTAAGTCCCACTCATGTCACAGTGGTATGGATGGCTTCATAATCACTAAGGCTATGTTTACACTGGCACGATCTTGCGCCAGAAGTATGCAAATGAGGCTAAACGTAGAATATCGCCGAGCCTCGTTTGCATATCTATTGAGCCGCCATTTTTGCGGAAGAGGCTCTGGTGCAAGAAGGAGCTGTCTACACTGTCCCTTCTCGCGCAAGAAAAACCCTCTTGCGCAATGCCATTACGCTCATTATTTTCAGGAATAACAGCATTGAGCAAGAGGGTTTTTCTTGCGCAAGAAGGGGCAGTGTTGACAGCTCCTTCTTGTGCAAGAGCCTCTTCTGCAAAATGGCGGCTCATTAGATATGCAAATGAGGCTTGGCAATAGTCCACGCTTAGCCTCATTTGCATAACTCTGGCGCAAGATCGCGCCAGTGTAGATATAGCCTATGAGAACAATTGCAAAAAAAAATCCCCTTTTTCCCTCTGGATAGACTGAGTACCTCTTTTTTAGCTGCTGGAATTTACATGAGTATCTGTCAAGTGGCAAATCCTGCTTGTCATCGACATTTGATCAGTTTTATTGACTCAATGAGCCTCTTCCTCCCATGAGTGAGATGTGACCTCTGGTGAAATATTAGGAGCACAGTTATGCAGTTTAAGCATAACCCATAGCACTACTAGCGACATCATTATTTTAAATCATAACCTCTACTGCCCTTACTCACGTTGAATAGTACCCTAGGCCTTAGTGCTGCAGGTGGCTTCTCTGTCGATGCAGCCCCAATGATGCCACACAGACTCCATGTGGGTGTATGGTTCAAGGCTAACCCATGTAAGTAGTCCTGTTAATATCATTGGGACTGTGAACTGGTAGGCAGCTTCACTAAACTGGTGAAAGAAATAATGCTCTGAGTTCCAGATCTCTTCCTCAGGGCTTATCCACATCATGGTCACAAAATATAGCAAAATCACTGAAAAAAACAAGGCACTGGTGTGATGTAGGGGGGAGGGTGCTGTCTGCTCTGTAACCCACTGTCCCCCTGTGTTGTGATGTGTGATTCCCACTGACTCACTCACATGTGTATTAGCCTAGGCCCAGCATGACCAGATAACAAGGCTCTTCCCCCAGGGGAGAGACAAAGGGAGGGAGGCGGAGATCAATGCCAAGTTTCGGGGGAAGGGGCAGATGTTGGCTGGGAAACATGAAGGAAACAGCCTAAGCTGGGGGCTGAGGGTCATGGGGAGGCAATGGACCCCCTAACCCAAAGGGTCTGAGGCATCCTGGTCCTGACTCCTGTAACCACATCAGGTCTATGCTGTGCTGTATCCTGGAGAAGGAATAGACCCTCTCTATTTTACTGGCTGGTGGAGTCTGTTGCTGCTACAGGGCTGCAGGACCAGGGGGAACCCTGACTTGCTGTCACAACTGGTCCCCAGGAGGACTCTCTGCTTGAGAAGACATTACCTTCCTCTTTAAACTCTTTTGACCCAGCTTCACTTTCATGTTGCACTCAAAATAAGCTATGCAACTTGAGCTACACTAATTGCACATCTTAGGTCAAAATAGCTTATTTTGACTTCTGGTGCTGTCTGCACAGCAGTTATTTTGAGAGAGAACACACTTCCCCCGATTTTCCTTACTCCTCGTACAATATGAGTTACAGGAGTCAGAGTAAGCAGTCCTCCAGCTCAACATTATTTCAACATTATGTCGAAATAACTGCTTGGCTGTGTCGAGACTGGCCAGTTTTTCTGGAAAATCAGCCGCTTTTCCGGAAAAACTTACCAGCTGTCTACACTGTACGCTTGAATTTCTGCAAAAGCACTGACTTCCTACTGTAAGAAATCAGTGCTTTTTGCGGAAATACTATGCTGCTCCCGTTCGGGCAAAAGTCCATTTTGCGCAAAACTTTTGCGCAAAAGGGCCAGTGTAGACAGCGGAGATTTGTTTTCTGCAAAAAAGCCCCAATCGCGAAAATGGCGATCGGGGCTTTTTTGTGCAAAAGCACGTCTAGATTGGTACGGATGCTTTTCCGCAAAGGCGCATCATTATAATGCAAACTCCGTGCCAATCTAGACACTCTTTTCCGAAAATGCTTTTAACAGAAAACTTTACCGTTAAAAGCATTTCCGGAAAATCGTGCCAGTCTAGACGTAGCCCTTGTGTGTAGACGCAGACAATGTTATTTCAGAATAACATCAATTATTCTGAAATAATGCCACAGTGTAGACAACCTTACTAAGCAGCCCTATGACAAACGGGGACCCGCTGATTCTTTACATGTGGCAGTCTCTCCCTTGTCACAAGCACCTTCCTGTGGGGTAAGGGCAGCACTTGTTTTGTATTTAGAAGAGCCATAGACTGGGCCTTTAGTTATTATTCCCTGTGCAGCCCTCACCATATCTTGGTGAGCACCATGCAGAAGTATATTTGTTTTGGAATGATTTCACCTCCATCCTCTTTTTCTGCCTCAATGTATACCTAATAGAATAAATATAACTTCTTTGAAGTCATTAGACTTGCACCTGTTCACACTGTTGCTGCATTTGAGTTCTCCTATCTCCCACCAAGTGTACACTGCCAGAGCCCAATAGCATTTGCTTTAAAGTGGTGTAGATCTAATGTGTCTCCTGTGCTTGCACTGGCATTATCTTGGATTTGTACCAGTGTAATTGAACAGAATGTGGCCTATAATGTGTCTGAATATTTATGTGCTGGGAGAGAAGCAGGAAGATGGAGGGAAATGAATTGCTGCCTCACAGTAATGAGGATGTATGATATTCTCTTTCCACTTCTTCCTCTAATGTCCTTGGAAAAACAAAACAAAAACCCCTAAATCCTGCCTTTTGGCTTTTTAAAAATGTATTTAGCAATGGAATCTTGACTAAAAGTGCTCAGCACTTCTATACATGATCCCCATTTCAAGTCACTTTTCACTCCCCTTTTCTCAGTAGGATTGTAAAGCACAGTAACAGTTTGGAGGGGGAAAAAAGACTGTCAAGAAGAAAATCACTAAAGCTGACTTAATATTAGTTGGGGACTTTTTTTAAAAAAGTCTTTGTGCTGATGAAACAAGCTTTTGAAAGTAATGTGGAAAAAATGATTTCATTTGAACACCTTTCAGCCAAAAAAACATATGCTGCTTTTAATGCAGCGCAATAGCTGAACTTCTGAAGAGACGAGCCTGTAGAGTCCTCACATCTTGAAGTCTGTGGTTCAATTGCTGGCACCTCCGGCAAGTGAGAACTTGCAGCTGTGGTGAAACAGTGAGCTTCAGAGTCTTGATCTGAGCCAGCAGGGTGAGGTTTGTTGATAGAGCGCTGGTCCCCTGGAAGAGGGCAGAGCTTCAAAAAAGCATTGGAAAATGACTTAGCTTGCACCTTTGAACTACTGTGTGAGCCGCACTGCTGAATGCACATGTGCCAAGCTGTTATGTGGTCTTCCAAACAGGTGGCCAGCACTTTCACTGCTTTACAACTAGAGCATAGGCTTTTGAATTCATGCTGCTCAGTCTTGCTACAGTGTGTGCTGCACAACTGTTGGCTGTCCTCTCTATCGTGTGTAGCACGGCCAATGAGCTACGTGCTGGAAATGACACAGAGAACAATAGTTCTTGCCTTGATGTGCCTGTCCTCTAAAATGCAGATGCAGAAGAAAGGGAGCATGGAGAAATGAAGGAGGAAGAATAACTCGTGGCTTTCTGTGTAATATTTATTCTAATCGCTGTTTGGGACCTCACTGCTGGTGAGTAACATGGGAGGAGCAAATCTGCCAGCTAGGCTGTTAATGAACTGAGTGCTCCCCTGGGCTAGTTCTCTGCACATTGCTCAGAGTAGGATGTGCCCTTCTGCGGGGAGAAGGGACAGCCTGGTGTGTGTCTTTGCAGAGCTCAACTCTTCTTCCCACCATACGCTGTGACTGGATACAGCTTGTCTCTTCCCACCCACACAATATGAAAAGGCAGGTAATGTGCTCAGGTTGCTGCTGGCCACCAACATAGGCCAGTCACCTCCTGTCCCCTGGCTACTGTATGGACAGGAAGGGGTTAAAATCTAAGGCTGCATTCTGTACCAGGGCCCAAGGAACCTGACTGCAATGGCATCAGCCAACCTGGCCAGAGGTGGTACAGCAGGGGAGGGTGCCCAGGCCATGTAACAGTCCCTCACTGGAGGCAGGACTCAGAGAGGAAGATGGGAGTAGATAAAGAGGGTGCTAAGCCCCTGCCTCGGGGGCTGCTGTGAAGAGGCTGGAAATCAATTCCTTTCCCAGCCACTCCAGAGCCACAGTGCCAGGGCCATGTAGGGCTTGGGCACATGCAGGGCTCTGGTCTTCCTGCACAGTAGGCCAGTGCCAAAGGGTATTGGGCTTTCCTAGGGCACTGGCCCAGCCAGACTCAGTGGGGAAAGGAAGAGTCCTGCCAGCTAAGCTGTTAGTGAGCTGAGTGCTCTGACCGTGGGCTCATTCTCTGCACAGTGCTTGGAGCAGGTTGTGTGTTTCTTGGGAGGAGGGATATGGCGAAGCAGCAGGACTGGGTGGTGGCAAAAGGGCTCAGGGAAAAGACAGCAAGAGGGAGAGCATGTACAAGGCTGAAGGGTGAGCAGCAGAGACAACATGTAACTGGCCACTTCCTGGCACCTGCCCCCACACACTAGCTTCCACAGCTCAGCCAGTGGCTGCTACTGGAAATGGAATGGGGGGCAGCCAAGAGCCAGCACACAGTGAAGGCTGCGCTGAGGGACCAGCAGAAAGAGTGGCTGGTCCGATATGCTTTATCTTCACCCTGCCACCAGCCTTGCACACCCACCTCCATGGTTGGCCACTGGACCCCTCCCCCCCGCCATTCACTACTGATGGGTGGGCAGCTGCTGAGCAGGGATCTGTCCAGCAGCAGGACCCACCAGTATTGATGGGGGAGTAGGGGCAAAAAATATGGGACAATTTGCCTGTTTTTAAGAAAAAGTTGTCACATCTGTAGGAGGGTTTAAACAGAGAGCTGTCCCTTTAAGTAGGGTGACCACATATCCCATTTTTAATCACACCGTTCTTACTATTGTTTTGCCTTTTCCCCTCTACTTCTGCTCAAGTCTGATACTTTTCCAATAGCATAACCCATCTGAGTCTAAGAGCTTGCAAATAAGAC